AAACTGGATTTCGCGGTGGCCCGGCAGTTGATGAGCTTTACCGCGCGCTTACGGGCCGCAACTGCCACCGGCCGCGTGCTCGGTTTAGCTAATTTAAATTTAATCCCAGCAATTGGATAACAGTCGCTCGACCAATTAAAGACGATAACCGTTTTAATCCGAGACCCGTCAACGGCGCCGTTGGCGGTATTTCTTCGTTTTCCGTCCTTTCGTCGTACCGTACGGGATTGTTCGACCAAAGCCGAACCTGCAGCAAGTGCTTGCATAAAACTTGAACATTACAGATGACATATATATTATGTTTACCTGTTTATTACACTACACGTACGATGTAAACAAAAACAGTGACAAATATTGAATATTGCGTTTTAATCAGAGCACAGTTAACGCATATAGAACAAAAAATTCCCTACCGGAGCTGCCCAAAGTCGGTACTTGTATTATAAATTTAAGCGTATAATTGTACAAGTCATAAGCCAACAAAATATGTTCAAACAAATTCATTAACGTTTGGACAACCTGTCTTTTGTTGTATTTGGAATCAAACGTTTTATTTAACCAAATCTTTATTGCATCGATCAACCATTAAATTACAATACTGCCATTTACTAATCTCATATTTTACTCTTTTACTTTTTTTTTCTTTCTAAAAACATGCACAATAATGTAATACATCGTTTTGATTTGTTAACGGATATAAGATATTAATCCTATGTTGTGTGCTAAGTTGGTTAAGTATATTTATCTAGATAAAATTATATTCAAACAACATCAAACTGTTGTGTGCGTTTGCGTTTGATATTCAAAAGAGATTACTCCCTCAATTTATTTTCCTTAACCGACTTTGAACCAAGCAATAAAACTAAATCGATTCCGAGAAACACTTTTTCTTAACCGGTCGAACGAGATAGTAAAGTAATTAAGTTTATCACTGGAATTATCAAAAATCGTTAGTTAGGACGCTAAGACGTCCGAAGTCTTAAAACTTTAAAACAATCGGCGTAGTAAAACATCCGGTTTGTTGAAAAACTTTCTAATCGAATTCGACGAGGGTAAACCGCCGTTCATAGATGGTAAATTATCAGAATTATTTTTTAAATTCTTACCACGAACGCATTTTGTTACTTAAGACATAACCAGCTTTAATTTTAACAAAACCAAAGGTGCGCTAACCTGCCTCTGTTCGAGCCGTAACATATTACAACGTGTTTCTTATTGTTCATTGAAAAAATATTAAAGTACAGGTACAAAATGATGATGTGTGTTTTGTAAAGTTTTATTCGACTAGATCGGTTAACATATTGGGTTTAATTAACTACTGCTCAATAGGTACGGGCAACAACCATGCGTATTGAATTTATATTACTAGACTAGCCGACTTACCAACGTTTTTTTTATTTCATCATCAATTTGAAGTGTACCTAATTATAATAATAAATGATTTCAGACTATTGACCTCAGTAGCCATGATTATTTAAATAAAAATATTTTTGTAGTCTTAATTAAACTGTTACGCTGTTGATTTTATAATAAATAATAAGTATATATTATGATTTTTAATGTTGTTACTTGTTATACCTAGGGTTTAACACGTCACTATTTAGGCACTAGAATTATCAATGAACATTGACTCGAATTAACCGAGTGGTGTTTAACCAAGAGTCTACTTAATGCAACTAGAGAACAATTTCATTAACTGTAAAATATGCTATATATATATATATATATAAAACTTGCGTTTTGCACAGTTGTCGGTATAAACCAATGTTGATTTCATCCTTGAAATGATATAATAATTTATCTTAATATATTATATATACGGTTTTACACCCTGTAAACGCAAATTACTATATTGTAATGTTATACGCGCACATTGTAATACATTCATTCTACAGTTAATTCGTTTACGACTCGCGCAGTTTTGCCTTACAAATTATTATTTGTTGAGGCGAACAACACTTGCGAAACCGTGTAAATAATAATATAGAATGCAATATAATAATATGCGCAATCCTGATATTATTTAACATTCCAATAATCACATACACACACCCACGACCATTCGTACACATTATGGTTCTTGCTGCTGCTCCAGATACTGGGCCGAATATAAAATAAAAAATCCGCTCGATCGAAAGCACAATTTATTATTCGATGTAATGGTGATCATTTAAAAAAAAAAAACCTCGTCCAAAATTTAAATATTTACATAATAAAGTATAAAAACGGTCAGTTACCGTTGACGAAAATCGAGGGTGAATGAAATACAAGGGAATATAGCTTTTTCAAGAGCCCATAAAAATATCTAAGGGAGCCAAACGATAACTTTGTCACTTTTGAGAGTCTGCAGGAGTTTTTAAGGATTTAAACTACACAAGTCTCATCTACTATTTGCGCCGACGATTCTTTAACATTTTATTAACGGTTAATTTTTTTTGTAGTGATATGACCTATTTGCTTCTCTTAAATTTAATTCTAACTTAAGCATTTTTGTTCATGTAATGTGTAGAATGAAAATGTGTTTTTTCGCACATTTATAGTGACACATATTTTTTTTATAAACAGATCCGTACAACTTTATAACTCTTAAGAACCTTAGTGTTAGGTAATACAAATATTTTAGTTTAGAAAATGATTTAAAGCGAACCCCGTACGCCATTAAAATTTTGAATATAAAAGTATATATTAACACGGGGTCGCATGTATGTACGAGAGTTAGTCAAACTTGTTACTGGATCGGAGCTTAAAATAACATTGGACCAGATGAAAATCCACCCCGAATAATATTTATCTTTTCGGAGCGGTAAGATTATGTGAAAACTTAGAAGTACCAAAGTGATTAAAAATATGCTATGTAGTTTGGAGCAAATAATACATTATAAATTCAATTTCCAACTAAGGAAACGCCATGACACTATTTTTCTTCATGAAAAGCATATTTTGGAATAGATCTACGTTTCTGAGAATTTATGCTGTTATAAGAATTGACATTTAAAGAAAAATTACTTAAAACGATTTTCGATAAATTAATAATTCATCAAAAATAATATAAGCGTTCGAACGAATGGAAAATTAAAATGTTTTTGTTTCCGTTTTCAGATTTTAGTAGCTAGGCAAGTTATTTCCGAATATATCAGCCTATTATCCAAATATAAACATATTAACAATGCAAAAAAAAATCCGACTTTAGGTAAAAAAATGAAGAATAAAAAATATTTGATTTTGTATTTGGAGTTAACATTATTTTTCCAAATTCGATGTACATTAATATAAGAAAAATAATAATAAGACATGGGTTTGGAGTATATAATTTTACGGAGTAGAGTCTTGGAAAATGCTAAAGGTGGATTAGAGAAAAATAGCGACCTTTAAAAGTTGGTGATGGAAATTAAAAAAATAATATTATTTAATTAATTAATTTTTGTTTACCACACTCTAAATAAATATTTAGTAGACGCCTTATTTTGGATTTTTATTGACATTTTTATGTTTTTGCTATGGCACACACACGGAAAATCGACACCGACACCGCTTATCATAGCGAAAAATAACAGCTGATTTATCTGATAAGATAAGAGAGACAAGAGATATGGTTTTTACTTTGGAATACGACCGGAAAAAATCGACACCGACACCGGTTTTCATAACGAAAAATAACAGCTGGTTTATCTGACAAGAGAGATAAGAGATAAGGGAAGGAGATAGGGGGTGATTTCACCTCTATCTCTATAAGGGGTAAGACATGAGGGATGGAGTTGGGGTGTGAGCATATATGTTGTATTCACAACGTTTAAAATAGAAATGAATAATAAATTCAATAATTTAATGGGCCAAATTCTCCATGAATTGTTTTGGGCCAGATAATATGAAAACACTAAAATATTAGCCAGAAACTTGATATGTTTACTAGCCACCTTAGATACATAAAAATGTATCCCGTGCTGTTGCGGACTCGTACGCAAGCTGTTAAAATATAATATGTAATACCTATGTTTAATCCCAAATTTTCTTTTTATTTTTCATACGATTTTAAAAGTAGACATCACTCATCGTTTTTAAAACAAAATTGCCTAATAAAAGTTACCTATTAAGTGTTAACTTATGACTTCATAATATGTTTACAAGCGTCCTAATTATTATTTTACCTGACTTGTGAATTTTGGCCAGTTTCACTGTTATATTGTTCATTTAAATGTAGTATATCAATAAGGAAATATAGGCTAATGTATAATATTATTACCACATATGGACAGTAAGGCTTAATTTGGCCACTTAAAACATGATTCTAAGGAACGCAATGCCTCAAAATCTTTTTTTATAATAACTTTAGTGTCCAGACATAATTTGTGGTTGTGATGTTCACAAAATATATTATTACATCTGATAGTATGTTATATTTTTTTGTGCACATTGAATTGGTTTAACGGCATTTGTATAATGTAGTATATTATACTCGTATATCGTGTATAGTCAGTCGCGGTAGTTGAATCAAGTGTACAAAGAGCTTATGATTAGTCGTTCGGCCAGGTCGAAGCATTCGTTTCTACTTGTTATTAAAATATTTATGATTCGTTTTAAAATATGGTATGTTCTTCTCGTGTGATTGACCATGCAATTTAGTACTAGCGAGTAACGGGTGGATATTTTTTTAATTTTATCTAAAACGCACAAAAAACTCGAATCCGATGATTACTCGTTTCATTTCTTCAAATTGAACTCGAATGTAGTGGTTTTTGTCACAGGACGCATTCTGTTCAGTGAAACGAAATAGATAGTAAAAATCAACTTCCTGTAGTTCCTCTTCCGTCCGATCAATGTATATTAATTGCATAACATTATTGGTGGGTACACTTTGAAACGATTAACGATCTTTACTGAACCGGGTCTAACAAATAACGTGCGATGACAGTTTCACAATTAAGGCAATGCTACAGAACAAAAATACACATTACGAACGTTATTAAAAACAATAATATTATATTCAACAAAATATTAGGACGTACAAAAAACAATAACATATAAACGAGGCGATCGGATGATTAGTACTAACTACTAATTTATGTTTTCGTATATTTTTTTAATTACCGCTTTAAACGGTTCTAAACTATATCTACTTACATCTCCAGTATAATAATTAAACTATTATAAGATACTTTTTATTAAAGCTGTGTCCGTTAATATACAATAATATTTCTACATGTGTGATTCTCAATACTGTCAGATATCCGTCCCGTTGCTAGCAAAACGTCCTATTGTTTTGATAGACAGCTTTGGGAAACAGCGTTTGGCAGGAACAAACACGATTCTTGTTTATAAATAAAGGAACTTTGCATAATTCACATGATAGTCAGTAAATAGTTAAGTATGACAAATGATCCTAATCGAAAGTTATTGAAAAAATAATAATATTTATATATTATTACACATATATTGTTTTAAGAGCATTTTATTATATGGAATTCAGTGCGAGAATTCTATGAATATACTGACGTTAACGACCGTGGTGAAACGATAGTCGATTGTCTGGAAAAATATGTAAAAAAAATAAAAGTAACGCCTGACACATTTGGTATTAACATTACCTACAATTCGTTCCGGTGGAATGCCATTGGATTTGTTCCGGCTTGAAGGAGAAAACCATTATTAGCGTTATTATGATTGTTTATCACTGGATTCGTTATAATTTATAATAACATATCGCTATCGTTAGAGTCGCGTGACTTTAAAAATAATTTCACAGTCTTTTTAGAAAAATAGTAAAAATCAAAAAAAATTATTAATAATTAGTAATAATTAATTAGTAAACATTTCGAAGTTTTGCAGACCGTACTGTCCCACGCGTCCGCCGGTCGGTCGCTTATAGCCGCTAGTGGTGGCAGCCGGCACGGTGTTTTTGGTTGGCGGGTTCTTTCTCTTCTTCCGTCGCACGATCCGCTTGACGTTGGGTTCACGGTGTTCGCCGTGTTGGCCGTGTCGCTTGGCCTCGTGGCCCGCGGCCGTGTCCGGCTTACGGACAACACCAGGTCTGCCGGCGGCCGGTTCAAGTCGGTCGACGTGCTCCTCGTCGTAGAACTGTTGCTTCTTGGAGAACTCGTTCTTCTTGTGGATTTTGTGCTTGACCGGAAGTTCGTCGTGCACGTACCGCGCTCCCCTGGCTAAATCGCCGACGTTCACGCGTCCCCTGTGCTTCGTCTCCGCCGTCTCGTCCGACCGTTCTTCGGTCTCGCCACCGCCGCCGCCGCCGCTGTCCGACGAACCGCCGTCTTTTTGCGGCCGGCCTTTGGCGTTCCTGCGGCCCGCCGACCGCTCGCCCTCCTCGTCGCTGCGCTCTTTACCCCGCGAACCGTCAATAAACTCGACGTCCTCGCCGGGCGGCCGCTTTTCCGTCTTCGGCACGCGGGACTTCTGGTTCTTTTCCCTTTTCATCGGGTCCATCATGTATTCGTACGTGTGCGGCGTCTCGTACATGGCGAATTTCTGTTCGCCACCGCGATCTAGTCGTTTATGCTTGGCCCCGGTCGGCAAGCTGCGCTGCCCGTACCTGTAGGGCCCACCGCCGCCGCCGCCGTCGTATTCGCCGCTGTAGCCGCTCGGGCCGCTAGCGTAACGCGCGTGATTGTACGCGCGCCGGCAATGGATCGGGCGTCGTGAAGTACACGTCCGGCGAGACCGTCATCGGTTTTACGACCGCAGTACCGTACAAGGCGTACAAAAGCGCAACGCGACAGCAAACACCGCACTGTAACCGCTGCATTGTCACCGGTTCAACGTACACGCGGACACTGATGCGATAGACGCGTTCCGCTTTCGCACCGGTTTACCCGTGTACCCCCTTCTTTCGTTTTCCCCACAAACCCACTCCTACCTTTGTGGAACGATTCTTGCGGTTTTCACACTCTCGTACAGTGCACCGACCTTCTACACAATAATACAATTATTTGTATTATTATTATTGAGTATATATTGTATATAAATATATGTATTGCTATTATGTTATAAGATATTGTCTATATCTATGTATTGAGTTTATATTGCATAATATTATATTATATACTCAATGTTATTATTATTTGACAAGTTGACTAACATTACATACGTGCAGAGTTGGGCAAAATATAATTAAATATAAAAAATAACACTAAAACAAAACGAAAAACGTAATCATTTAAGTAAAAGATGTTTTATTCGAGAATTTTCAAACAACATAATTAGAATAAATGGTTATTCGGCAAAATAACAAATAAATGTATTAGAATAAAAATGAAATTTGAATTGGATTTTCCTTATTTGCTCCAATATCTATGCATATTAATATCCATGCACTTAAAAAAATGTGTTTTCCTTATTATACACCCACCCAGCAGTACTTATACAAAAAAAAAAAATTAATTTCAACTTCATGACTGATAGCTTATAATAATACAAAATACTATATGAAACTCTAGTCAGATGTTAAAGATATTTTTATTTTTTAATATACTAGTCGAAAGATTTCAACTTTTGTTATTTTGTTAAGTTGGAGTTTTTCTCCAAACAATATTTATATGGTATTTTTTTTTATGATTCTTTATGTGAATGATAGGCATTTTACTCTTTTGTACGAGAAGTCCTTCCAAATTATACCTACCAAGGGCGCCCGCAAGTGAGAATTCATGGAGGGGGCCGACTATGATTTTGTAATAGATCTTACAAATTTTATATATTGGATATACATTTTTTTTAACTTGCAGAGAAGTTAGAGGGGGAAGTTGCCCCCCTCCCAGTATGCGCCCTTAATACCTTCCTCTGCAGTATGCTATGTTATTTTCATCAAATTATAATAAAATGCGTTTGTTAAACCCACAATAACAATTCAATGTTTAAGCGGGTTTAATATATGATAAGTCATGAGTAAATCTACTTGTTATTAGGTTTCCTATTATAGAATCTAAAGTTTATTCCTAAATCCTAAACCACATACATAAATATAGTAATAATATTTTATTTAAACAAAAATTGTTTCACGGTTCTTACTTTTTTACGTTACTTTTCAATATAGTTATATTTATATAGTATTTATTCTGATGTCTATTATATTACAAAGTTTCATTGAAAATATACATAATTATTTTATAAATATAACTTAAAATATCGATCTTAGAGTGTTCTTCTGCTGTATAGAATTTTGTGCCATAGTCTTTATGACAGTTAATCTTAGCAAATTAAAGTAAAATTTGTACTTATATCTCAATAAGGACTATGAACAAATATGATATTTAGAATGCCCATTAAATAGCATGGCTAAACCTGATAGAAAACTAAATTAAAGCAATGAATACAATTTGAGTCACGTTTAATTTGTCTTTATGTTTTTCACAACAGCTGTATTTTATGAATATAATAATTAATGTTTAACCTTCAAAGTCGGACTTATATCGACGGAATTCAAACCAAATTTCCAAAGACCGAAATGTATACTATACGCATAATATAATATTAAGTTAGGACGTCTGTATGTCTATCATAATTGGAATAGAATTTTGGTTTGATGTTAATTAAATTGCACGGATTGTGTAACATGGTTTACAATACTAATATAATATGCTTATTAAATTAATTTTTAGATTCACTTCAGCTATTATACTGCGCCATGTGTACCTCAAAGGAGCATAACATAAAATGATCATGTGCTTAAAAGCAATACTGTCAATATCTGTTCCTTTGTGCAAACCAATAGTCGGGTTTGTTTGAAATAATTCTGACAAAATACCAGTCTCTCGGTTATTTTCTTACAATCTATTATATATTTTTTGAAACCGGATTGAAATTATTAAATAAAAAGTAAGTAAAACCAATAAATCGGCCACTATGTTTTGTTATCAAGTATTTGTTCATTTTTGACTTTATCAATGCAAAAAGATAAATCAAAATTCGTTCTTGTTTTAATCTGTTTTAGCTTTGATGCTACTTGCTAAACAGAAACGGTATTGGTTCGCCAATGTTGTGTTTTTTTATTAAACTATACAAACATAATAATAAGGTTGTGAAAATACAATATTTTTTTAATTTATATATTATTTATTAGGTATTAAAAAATATTTTCGTATATCTAATGATTTTAAAATAAAATTTTGACTTCCATTCTTATAAAATTTTTGTCTAAGTCACTGTCAGTGTCAAAGACAAATCCATAAGAACTATAATTGGTTCTGCTAATTAATAATAAGCGATTATTCTTTTATGTCTACTAATAAACCACGCAGCAATTTATATTTAACGATATTTTTCAATGAGGATTGGTGTGAAACATTGTAAGTACTTATTATATATTTTGTTTTAGATTTTGAAACTAAATCATGTAAAATTAAAAAATTAATTTTATATTAAGAAGTATTATTACAGTATGTTTTGTTTTATTATTATTTGCTTTTCGGTTGAAATCTAATGAAAATATTACAAATATTGTAAAAATTTTATGAAATGTAATTAAAATATAATTTTGTTATTTGAGAAAGAAACAAAGACAACTTGCATGAGGCCAGTGAGGATTGCAATTACTTTAGTATTAGGTATAAATTAATTTTTAGAATTAAATAATAGTAATAGATAATAGTACAATTTTATAATTTTATTGCTTGTAATTAATAGTTTGTAAAATCTTAAAGGTAAATACTACTAAATACGAGTAAGTTTAACACATGTTCTCTAAAATATTTAAACTAAAAAGTCAATTTAATCTAACTTCTTCGCTAATACGTGTTCCTTCAACTATTTTCACTGACATTGGTCGTTTTTTTTTTGCAACCAAACGTACTCAGTCAAGATTAATTGTTACATATTTCGCCTGGAGACAATTGAATGTCTTATAAGAGTTACATTTAATTTAAAAACACAATTACTAGAAATACAACAATTAGAAAACAGACAAATCACAGAGTCTGAACTAACTATTAAGCAAGAAGTAAATAGTATCGAGTTATTGATACTTTAACTCGTATACACCATGTCCAAAAGGTGTCAATACATTTTTTTTTGATAAGAAACAAACAAAAACATAAGAGAGAATACATAACGTCGAGAAAGCAGCCGCAGACTTCACTCTGGTTTTCTCTCAAGTCTAAGACACCTTCGCCGCACAGCAAAACTTATTGTGTATTTTATTTCGGTCATTTCTGCGGTTTCTTCACGGTGCGTTGATTATTATATATTTATATTAATTGACACAGATACGACATTTGTATCGGTGCAACGCGGATGTCAATCAGTTGGGCTCCGCAAAGACACGAGTCGTGGCCGTCATAGTACATAATACACAGAGGCGGATAGGCTACGTTTTTTTGTCAATAATTTAAATAAACTATATATCTGATTTTCTGTAGGAAATCATAACAAACTTCAAAATAAATACTAAACATCTATTTAATTTCTTAATTTTGTCTTTTAGAAATAGTTCAAAGGATTCCAAAATTATTGCTTTTCAGATAATAGTTGTACAATATTGCATATTATACGTCATTTCTGACACAATTCTTAGAACTATATCTCCCTACACAACAATAATCAGTTTACTTGTTTGCAGGCGAATGACGACTTAACTCGGCTTACACAATTAACACACACAATCCTTGAGTTTGTGTTATCAATTGAACGCCATTCAAAACCACAATATTTAGTTTACTCCAAATAGACGCATAAGTTAAATACTATTCAAACCATAACGCAAGTGGTTTTACATTTATGACATAAATCAGAATAATTTGATTAATATTTCGGTTGAAATCGTATTGAGACCGGATTGTTATAATATGCAAGTTGTTTATTTAAAACCGTAAGCCGTTCTAAAGATACATAGTAAATAAAAACAATAAAGATACCCTAAGTAGTCATCATCATCATATCATCTTACAAATCTACTTTTAAAAAATACCCCTTGTAAGTGGACAGCTTTAATTTCTAAAGTCCACATTGCTTGGTATTGATTGAAAAATATATAAGTAAAGACTAGTGTATGTGATAAACTTTAAGTTAACCCTATAAAAGTCATAAGAGAGTCAACTCGGGATTAAATTTTCTTGTAAACGACATAGTATTATACATTTTAAAAGATACCATAGGATTTAATTTTATTAAGACGATGTCTACTGATGCTCCAATTTTTTTTGTAAGTCATTTAACTCAAGCATTTTGACATTTACAATAGACGATACCGTTGTGTAAGTAATATAAAGTGTCTTTTTACATAGAGAAAAAGTAGTGCTCTCACCGTTATCTACTTATATTGTATAAATCTACGCTTTACATATTATTACAGTAGGTATATAATATGTATGCATTTATACACTTCGTTAGCTCAGCGCAAATGGTGACTAAGTATAAAAAAAATACAGAAGTGATTTGGCAAAAAAAAAAAGATGTGATATTTTATGGGTACTAAGTAAATACCATGCAATCCAAATAATATATATCGTTGCCAACATATAAAATCTGTGTGAAAACCTTTATGTATTATACATACATACATTGTTTTCAATTTATGGGTGTTTACACCAGCAATACCATAACTGTGTTTTTTGTCCAGTATTGACTGTTTAATAGTTAAATATAATACGCTGGTCCCGGGTCCGTTAGATAATTTTACTATTGATGTCTGTGAATTGGGTTATAAACTCTATATAAATAAAACAAAATGTAAAATTTAACAATATTACATTTGTGTGTGTGTGTGTGGGCAATTACTAACATCCGGAAAGAACGAGCATGTTAAATTAAACCTACTAGTCACTACTATTACAAACGTATCTAAATTTCCTACTTAGTATTGTAATTATTTGGTAATATTTATACTTAAATATGACTTAACTGTTATAATATTTTTTTTTATAATTTAGATATGGTATTTCTTTAACAGATATAGTAGCTATAATACACTTTCAATTAATTAAAAGGTTTCATATTTTATTTATTGTAGAATAGTACTTATCGTTCAGGGTCGATTTAGTTATCATTATTGAATAGTCGTTCGATTTTTTGCAATCAAATCGAAAACCACGCTTAGGGTTCGAATGATGTTTATTTACTCCTTAAGATCTTCACAATTAATTGCTCTCATGTAAAATAATACTCTGAGAACTTTAAAGAATTTAATCCAATTTGAGTTTCTTTAATGTGTTATTTAACTGATGTCAACTATCAATAAAAGACTATTAGTTATGAAGATTATTAATTTTAGATGCTCCAGCTGAACTAACTGCAAAGGTAATTTTAGGAAAAAGTTTAAGTAAATATATGTATGATTATTTATTATTACATGTATGTGTACCTAATAAGTGTGCATAAGGATTAATTTAGCAAGGGTCAGTATTAAAGTAATTCCTTTAAAACTATTTAATACTTCATGATTTACAACAGTCAACATTAATATTTTAAGATGTTTTTAAAGCATAATATAACAGCGCTATTTTAAAGCTTTTTGTTGTACTACATAATGGAATTTACGTCTTGTTGTACCTTTTAATTACTGTAGGAGTATAATTTTTTAAATAACATTGTGTAACGAAAAAATGCCTATTTGTAATTTTGAAAATAAAGATAAAAAAGAATGTGTTTACTAAGTTTATTTCACTATAGAATTCGTTAATAACATGAATAAAACATAAATATACTTACTTAGTTTATAAATTATTTATTTTATATAAAGAAAAATATTCAAAAAGTTTCCAAAATGAAAAGTTATTTTTTTTTTGGGGAATCAATCATTTATTAATAACATTAGATATTTTTGTCAAACTATATAATAGAAATGTTACAATCGTTAAAATTATGTTTTAATTTATCCGCAAGTACTTATAGCCATTTTAAATTTCTAAGTTAAAACATACTTGCTAACGATAAATAATATTCAATTAAAAAAAGCCAGTACAGTGGGGACGGAGAGATCACAGGTCTACAGATTTTATTATAAATGAAAGTGATAAAATCACTTTTAAATTAACGCTTCGATGCGAATCTGTGGATAGTATGTTCAAACCAGTTATAGCTGCTTAGAAGATATCGTGGGACCCGCAATAATGTACTTCAAATTTAATATTTAGTCTTGTGCAGGGTGGATACGATAAGGGTTGATTGTTTTCGACTATATTTAAAAAAAGTTATAGAGCATCGTAATTTTAAGTTGAAATTTTTTTTTCATTTTTTGGGTGTTTTTCTCAATTTTCATGGGGAAGGGGTGACTTTTTTTAATTTTTGGCCCATTAAAGTGCCTTTCAGGTATGATTTCTGATCTATAGAATTGCTACACGAAGAAATCGGTTCAGTGGTTTATGAGATATCGTGGGTCCAGTCACAAAAAAAAAAAAAAATAAAAACACATTGTAAAAACAATACCTTCTCAGCTCCGCACCGAAGCTAAAACTCTTACTTCTTAGACAAAATTATATCAATCACCTAATAAGAATTGTGTAGCTATAGTAACTTAAGTACTGGTAACATCAATACTAGTTTGTTAGAAGCCAATACGATCGTCGATCGGTAAACACAAAAAGTATTTTAATTTAAAATTTGATATATTATGGTGCCGTTGTCATATTATACTAATTGAACAATTTAATGATATAAAGATTTTTTCGGCGGAAATTGTTTCTAGTAGTCTACTGTTTATCTTAAAATTAAAAAATCCCATCCAAACATGTTAACACGTTTTTGAATTTCTACTAAAACACACTAAGAGTAAAAAAGTTATTTTTCTCATAAAAAAAATATTATTAGGTAATTAGAATGTTAAGTATATTATTTCAATTTTCAAATAAAAAATTAATTTTTTTAAGATAATACCAATTTTTGTCATCGAATTAAATAAAAAGAATACAATTTTTATTATAAAATATAAACGTGTCCAAGTGCAATTAATACTATTTTGAAAAACTATACTTAAAAATTAATCATATCAAGTAAAACCGAAAAAATTATCTACAAACCTAAATTTATATTTAAAAATGAACACCTGTTATTTTCAATTTTCTATAAAATAATATTATGTTCTTATATTTTGGTTTTGTTTAAAACTATTATGACAACAAGTGACAATAAATTAGAAATTAGTTTTTCCAATTTTTAAATGATATAGTTTTATTTAGTGCAGCTGCTACACAACTACAATTTTTAATTTTTTTAATTACTCGTTTCATTGCCATTGGTTTCGAAAAGTGACTGCTTAGCTTTTTAACCTACTTAACTGTTTAATCTAACTTACTGTAAATTATTCTATTTTATATAGCTATAAATAATGATAGTAAATATAATTAAGTTAATTTTCCAACAAGAAATATTTGTGCAAATTGATTAATAATTTCTTAAATAAAAATTAACGTTTGTGCTCTTATTATAAAATTTACTACTTGCAGGGCTTAATTACTAAAAATAATACAAAATAATTAAGATTAAGACTTTTTTTTATTTACTTTTCATACTTAGGAATTAGTATTTAATTTCTTTCCTAAACTAATGAATTACATAATGTGTAATGAATACAAAATAGAAATAAATTAAACTACTTTTAAACGGTTAGTAATTTATGTATTATCATTTAACATATTTTTATCATAAACAAGTAGTCAAAAATATATTTTCCTACCATTCTTGTTACAATTTTATTTAAAACTCAGAATACTATTGTTTTAGTAAATTTTCATACCTATACTATTTAAACAAAAATTTAGTCAATTCTAATTACGGTTTTAAAAATTATTCTTAAATACTTGTTCACAAAACTTGTTGAACATAGTTAATACACAGCTGGATTCAGAATCATGATATTCAATATGGTTGGTAAAGTTATTATTACTAATATATTACTGCGGGGGACGTGAATGGACAAAAATATATAAATATATTGTATTATTTTGTAGCTGGGAAAACATAGTTTTCCCTCGTATTCTCAGAGGGTGTTAAATTAAGGGGAGGGCAAAAATGTTGTAGCGTAGGTTTTACGGAGGTCTTTAAAATAAAAACTGTTGGTGTGCCGAAAGACGTAATGTCATTGGTCCTGACGTCACTGCGGGGAGGTAGATTTCGGTATAAAGGGAGAAAATCACCCCTCGAGTCTGTCCGACGAGTACAAACTGGCCACTTTGAAAAGTTGTTGGTAACCGTCGACTTCGCCCGAAACACCATCGCCACATCGTTTTCAGACACCCGCGAGAATACACAGGTAAGTGATTGTTTTACTTATTTACCAAAATAATTGCTTACCGACATATTTAAATTTTACGTTTATAGTGAAATGTATGTTTAATTTTCTATTTTACAAAATAAGATAATATTTAAACATGCAGAAAAAAATGCTGTAAATTGTGATGGTTGTAAATTAAGTACTCGTTTTTAAAACTTTAATTAATTACAAAACAAATTTAATATTCAAAAAGCGACCACATCATTTTATTAGCCCCGCCTAACATTGCTGACAGTACCGTCTACTAATAAAATAATTAATTTAAAAAAAAAATTAATACAAATATAACTACTATTCAATCACTGATAATTAGGTACTACACATTTGACACGCCTATATTTATAAATAACAATCATAATATAGACAGTTTATATATTTAATTTTTTTTTAATTTGATTTGTTAACTTATCTATCTATTTATTTATTTTGTCTAGTTATTTAAATATATTAAACGTTGGGCGTTTAATTTTTAAAACCGATTTGTATGTTAGTGCATAAGTTCACTGGTTCTATTATAAATTTTGAAAAAATGATGTGGTCGATTTTTTATTATCAAAAACTGTTAAATACTTGTAAAAATTATAAAAACTTAAAATACTCAGGCCTTCGAAGTTTAAATTTCTTAAACAGATAAATAAAGTTTCTATTGTCTTTATTTGTAACCTTACAAAGTAATTTTTGATATACCTTCATAAGCACGTACTTTGCAAAAACAACAATAAACTTTTAACTTATAATACACTTCTGTATACGCCCGTATAAAATAACCATGCATAATGTTTGAAACAAATAAAATGTGTAAAGTGTCTTATACGAATTTGGTTAACTCAAATTTAATAAATTAAAGAGATAGACAAAACTACAATCGTTTTCACATTATACTTAATTTTTAGTTTTTCGATAAATTCTTTTTAAAAAACCCAATGGGTGACTAAATTATAAACTGTAAAGAAAATTTCAAAATCGCTTATTTAAAGAAGTTTTATTTATTATTTGCTGGATTCCCCACACAGAAATTAAAAAATATAAATATTTTCTAAAGGTTCTCAATTTTTGTGAACAACGGACAAATAGTTATAGACTATAATTTGAAAACATTACACTTTGTTGAGGTAGTTATAATATTAATTAATACTCTCACTAAACTTAGGTCAATGCATTACTGTCATTTAAAATGACAATTGTAATTCTTATAAAACAAACATGACATTTTTTTTAAAACGAGCAATAGCTAACCTGATTTACGATACATTAAACTTAAATTAAAATAAGTGGCGAGCAAAATAATTTAAATCTGGTTGTCAGTAGTTTGGAATTGATGATAAAATATACAATGTATTTTTTATAAATAATTATTTTTGAAAAATAAACAATTCGTTTAATTAAAAACATCCCGATGACAATGGACTGGTGTCCTTATTTGAAAGCTATACGTTTAATACTTATTTTAAGTTAATATATAACAATCTTAAACTGACCTGGTTTTAAAAGCTAAGCATGTGATATTACAATTTGTAGTGACCATGATTTTTATTTTTATTTTTATAACATACTTATATTTACTACTCACATTTGTTTCAATACTTTAAAACAATTACATGCATGTTCAATGGATTCACATTAGTATAGTGTTTGCAATATATGAGTATATATTTATTTAGGTGTTACTGGTACTGTACCGTTTTAATTTAAATGATTCAGTGCATTTATCAAGTAGCATTCTATTTATTTTCTACTGAAAAATGTCAATGGAATAAATGTAAACATACTTTACACAGAATTCACTACACGGGTCATAATATAATGTAAAATGTTGCGTTTTATATTAATTTAATTCACCGAGTATTTCACATACCTCTGATTTTGAGTGTTATATGTTTAAAGTATAATTTTCTTGAGGCGAAGCACTAAAACTCTTTAAATGTTCCAGTCGATCTGCTTGCGAATAATAAACTGTCCCTTCTGTGTATCTCTAATACAAATTCATACAAAGAACTAAAAATACCTACACTTACCAGTTAGCTAAATCTCACTACTCAAATTCCTATTCCAATCTAAGCTCTCATTCTTATCCCCTAAAAAGCAACTGTCCTCGGCTTCACTCAGAAGACTCAAATGAAAATAGTCTTAACAAACAAATATTTAATAAACAAATGTTTTCTTAACTTACCAGTATATTTTTTATTATTAGATTTTACTCTACTAAGGGAAAAGGAAAACACACCAAAATTAATAATGACGAAATTTCTTTAATACCATACATATCAACATTAACCGCATAACCGTCAATCCGTTTCGACGACTTATCGAATTTGATATAGAGACTAATACCTATTGTGTATACCTTAAATCAAATTAAGACACGAGATACTAAATTCCTTCATTTGATTCTAGTACTTGATACATAAAATTTCTGACATGTGGAAAAATGCCGAAACCCTGTAAATTGTTTTAAGCTTAGATTCTAGTTTAACTATGCGTTCAATAAATAACAATAAATTAATAAAAAAACAAATTCGCATAGAAACTAGTCATAATGACTTTGTAGTGTACCGATAGACCGCTAAGCAATTGTGTAGTTCAATACTATTAGAACATTTAGATTGTTTACCGAGACAAAACAAATAATAGCTTATTACCCTTATTGATTAACTATAATAATACCTAATCTCTGTCTAAGTTTTGAACATAAATAAAAAATTAATAACTAGTACAATGTAGTCAAAACCTACTAGAAACGGAGCATATTAGAGCGGGAAGTCCAGGTCTACAGAAATGATTATAATTAAAGTGATAAAATCAATTTCAAATAATACTTCAAAGTGAACATGCGATAGATATAAAAATTTCGACAAAATCATTGTCATGACAACAATGTGCTTGATATTGTTCTTTTAGTATTAGTTTAGATACATTTAGAGTAAATCTTTAGAATACCCTCTGGCTCCGTGTCGAAGCAAAAAAGAGTTAATACAGTTTAGCTTTCGAACGACTAAACATGTTTTTTTTTTTTTAGCTTAATTTTTTAGAGGATTTCTTCTCATTTTTAATAATACATGACCTCCTCTCCGTTAAATTATGTTTTGGTCTATGCAGCCTTAAAACTACATGTTGCTTTTCGGGTACATATTTTTTTCCTCCGCTTCCCGCCTGAAACTGTTTTTTTTTTTTTATGAATAATTAATAGTCAATACTCAAGTACGAGTTAATTCTTGTACACGGTACTAATGTGAGTTTTTTTATAATTCCGAGTACAACGAAGCCGTGTCGTTGGACTAGAATCATTATTTTAGTGATAATGACGTTATTTGCATCCACATGACGTAAATATCACAGACATTTCTTCACGGTAAATCGTACATAGTCCCTAAGGATTTTGCCGTTTCTGTACTATTATGTCCCTAGCCCGTATCCTTTTGCGTTTTAAGTGTAGCCGGTTAATCCCGTCAGTTTCTTCGGCGACCAGCGGCCGGGCAACGAGCGTGTTAATTAAAATAATACACATCCAAGGGTAATGGCTCGTAAACCGTACACACTCATCATATACACTCAATGTGCACCGACCGCCGTCGCCATTTAGTAGTCGATAATGGGTACTAAATTCGCACATTGCTTGTAATAACTTAACTAATAGTATAAAATACAAAGTACACACAAGCCTTATCCGCTAGTTAACCGTTTCCGATATTATTTTTATTTCAGTATTAAATTTAATGTGTTATCATTACATAACGACACGTGACCGGTTAAGTTGTATGTATTATATAATATATGGTATATAAATTATATTTAAATACAAACATAATATATTATTTTTAATCGACATACAAGCCAACAAGGATATTGCTCATACAATATGTATAATGAAAGTTAACGCTTAATGCATGTTACGATGTCCGAACGTTCCAAACTCTTTTTGGGGTGCGACGAATGCGAACAAAATTTCTTTTTCAGCTTTGAGTCAAAGCTAAAAAAAATGCTCAAAACAGCAAAAACGTTTATCACGCGTGCAATTCGGGTCTGCGACCTCTGGCGGTATTCCGTTTGTATGCACAGCACATCTAATTAAGGAGCTTCGTTAAACGGGCTATGGAGGTCTCTCAAAAAAGTAAACTATACACTACTACTTAACATTTTAGGCGGATAGACAATTAGTGTACGTAATATATAACAGTAGTAATTACTTTATGTATTTATATTTTACGAAAAAGAATATTATTTACAAATTATTACTTGTAATTAACACCAATTTGCATATCGTAAAGTATACAATCAATCAAAATAATATCAATATAATATAATTAAAAAAAAAAAAATTAAAAATAATAATGTAATACAAAAACTTAAAAAAGAAACATTATGAAGTAATTTATTTCGTCAACATTATTTACAAGTGTAGGGCTACTATATGAACATAATAACAAAGATGACATGGAGTTTAAAAGTTTAGCGCTAACACGATGTATAAGCCTTAAGTTAATATATTGCATTTTAAGCTAATATTAAAACACTGCTGACTTGACGACCACTAAATGATGTCTATTAGATTTTAATAGTGATGTTTTATTTATCAGTTCACAGTAATAGTTATATAAACTTAAATAAAAAATGTTCAAACATATTTCTTAAAATCGAGAAAAGTAGAGTTTAAGTGAAATGTCACAAATTAAATTATACTTGAACTTTTTACTATAATATATAGATTATATATATGAGATGTTGAAATACATCTTGTTAAACTTTAATTATAACAACAACCCAACATCATAATTATTTTTGTCTTTAAATGCATCCTAATAATATGTAACTATAATAACAAATATTACAGTAAATACTTTTATTTAAAAGGGTATTTTCAATAACCATTAATACACGTCTACCTTTTAAATTATTGGAAACAGTTTTGTTTAAAATATGTTTTATAGTCCCCTTAAGACATGTGAAAACCTGACCATACCGTTTTGAAAAAAATTGCTCAT